TTAACTGCAATCTTCTATGTTTATTTTGATCAAATACTACTGTTTTTAATAGCTACAATTTAAAATTAAGAAGTCCTGGAATCATTTTATCTGTGTGTGCTCACAAAACATGATGCAAAATGAATTAGTTTTCATATTCCTAATATTGTATTTCCACCACTTGTAACCTGGTATTTGAATTGGGCATCACAGTAATGGAGTTAGATTTGGTGGATGTATCTTGTAATAGGCATGCCTCAATTTCAGTCCTGATGGAACCATCTTGATGTTCCAAGCTTAGGTTGAGGGGAATCATGAGCTTTTAGGTATTGTACTGGGAGAAGAGAGGAGGGTATGTTGAATCGGACCAGTTTGGCATTTACTCTTTTATTTTATTTCATTTTTTTTTTTAAAGGATTGCATGCTGTCATTACATCTTTGTAGGGCAAGGGGCAGTGCTTTGCACTGTACTATATGTTTCATTAAATCTTGCGTAGCTAAGTCATTTGGGTTCTTGGTAGATTAATGAATTCTTGTGTTTTTTCACTATGAGGATGTTTTTGTTACTTTGCATTCCAAACAACTAAATCCCATTAGCTGTCCACTGAGTGAAAATGGACGCTGCTGACAGTAGTGACTTGGCCAAATTTAAAATGGTTTCAGGTTAATTTTAAGCAGTTATAGCATACTATCATTTTTGAGATTCAGACTTTGTGCTAAACCTGCAAGTTTGAGCTACTACTGATTGGTAAAGGTAATCAGAGGAGCCCTGGGGATGTGGAAAATATTGCCGTGTTGGGGGTGAGTAATGGAAAGGGTATGATTTGTTTCTTAAGGAGAAGTCAGTATTATCATCAGTCTTCTTTAACATACAGGGAGAGGTTACAGCGTGGGGAGAGATGGCCTGTAATGTATTTAGCAGTCTGAAACCAAGTTTCTTACCTGGTTTTTGTATACTGTTATAAACTGCAATGCCCTTTATATGAAGCTTCATCTTAAAATGGCTTGGAAAGCTGAGCTCATGCAAAATGCGAGGAACTGGCTACATCTGCACTTTGTAACTGACATTAGCTTCCACAAAGTTTTGGTGGAATTAAGCATTGGAATTAATTTGTAAACCTCTAAATGGTTTGAAATATGGTACCTGAGAGTTTGCCTATCCTTCCTATGAGAGGACCCAGTGAAGCATTAATCAACAGAGTGGTTCAAGTTGGTGCATCCTTGTTTTGAAAAAGAGGGAGACACTGGCAGAGTGAATTATGAAATGCTCTGTTTTGAACTTTCCTTATTTTGCTTCATTGCCAGAATCTGGATTTAAGTTTCTCTTCATGCTCTAAACCACATCATTTTCTTTTGCTTATGAGGAGTGAATAAGTTGAGGATTTGAGTGGCCTGAGCTTTTTCCTCATCTTATTAGCTGGTAGATATTTTAAAGTCAAGATGGAAGAGCAGTCCTTTATACTGTGTTTTATATTGAGTATTTTAATTTAGATGATGGGGGCTTCTAATACAAGATGGACATTTGAGGAGATTTTTCTATAATAGAATTTAGATTAGACATTCTTAGTAAATTAAAATATTTCCCCCCTCCTGTGGCCAGTTCTGTACCAATGTAATGTAACACGTTATTAACCTGTAACAGCCCATCCAAGTTCCAGTTTCTTTTGCAGAATGTATCTGTTTTATGCCAACCTAATAGAGTCTTTGTGTGGTTAAAATATGGAAAGAAAGCATTTGTATGAGTTATGAAGAAGTGTTGTTCCACCCAAAGACTTTTATTGTGCCTATTTAAAGCATATTACAAAAGGACTCCTTTTGGGGCTATTATTTTTCTGAGAACAGAGGTCCTATGGTCTGATTAGCTTCCTATTCAGGAAGTATAGTAACCTTTGGAAGCAGTTATTGGTCATAACTTGTTTGTGCATCTAAAAGAAGGAATATTCAAGGTAAGGTGGAATTATGAAAAGCAGTGACATTCAAATGTTTTTCCAAGTATGAAAACTTTTACAACTGGTCTTCAAAACACATTTAATTTTATTTTAGTACATCTAATTTGATGTGGATGATCAAAGTTTTATGAAGTTAAAAGAAAATAAACCTGTTGGATTTTCCCCTATTGTTGAAAATCAAAGCAACTGTAACACAGAATGAAAGAAGTAGTTGCTAAAGGAACATTTGTACATGTTCCTTAAATTCAAGACATGGCCCACTGTACCGCCGATGGCTTCAGAACACTGAATGCTGCTTTGTATTGTAACTAAACAAAGTTCAGAACTAATGCTCTTTCTACAGCCTTCTTGACCATCTGTCATTCTCGCAGGTGACTATGTTCCTCTTGAAATGTTGTTCGGGGGCTGTTATAAGTCTGGCTTCTCCTACTTCTCCTCCTATATTTTCTCCCTTAGCTATTTCCTTCTTTGTGTTCAACCCAACTCCATCTTCTGTCCAAACTAAAATCTTACCCTGTTTCTCTGATATCTCTTTATGGATGTCTAACCATTAACTTAGGTTATTCTAGGCCAAAACAGAGTTCTTAATGCCCTTCCTACTCCAGACTCCTCTCCCCACCATTTTTCTTGATCACTGTGTACAGTACCACTGTCCTGCCTGTTACTTTTGATTCATAGTCCAGATGTTGTCTTTTATTTAAATTCCTATGTCCTGTCATACAGGTTCTCTCTTTGCATAACATCTCAAATATTATATGGCCTCTTCTATCTATCCAAACAGTGAAAACTCTTTATTTAGCTTGCCATCATCTCATATCTTTAACTGCAATATCCTTTTCCAGTGTTAGGAAACTCTGACACAGTGCTCTTTCAAATATCCAGTCACTAACATCACTGTTTCTCGTCTCTCTCTCTCTACAGGCTCTGCCTTCTCAATCACAAACTTAAGCCCTTTATCTTCATTTTCAAAGACCTTCACATCCTATTCTTGTCCTGTCATCTATCATTCACCACTTGAATGTCAATTTATGCCTCCATGTCTGTATCTATCTCTTGTCTTATCCTTCGACTATAAGCTCTTCAGAGCTCTTCAGTTTTTAGTTCTGTTTTCACAGAGCACTTGACACAAAGGTGTCCTGGCCTGTGGTCCACAACTAGCACGTTTTGGCTTCATACTTATGATGAAATAGTTCAAGGGTGTCAAACATCTGGCCTCCAGGGTCCTTGTGGGCCAGGAAATTTGAGGGTGGGACTTTTGAGAGGTTTGCAGAATCTGGGGCTACAGGGTCCTGTTGGAACTGGCTGTTGCCACAGGGAATGAGCAAGGGCTGTGCTAACAGCTGTGTTTTATCCTGCTGCCCCCACTGTGGCAAAGTGACTCCTGCTGATGCTTGCCTTGCTGCAGCCACTGTTTGTCCCATGTATCCGGTCCTCAAAGAGCCCTATAGTTTGGACTCAGCCTGGGATATGGGGTGAGTTGACACTTGATATAGCTCCTGAGAGGATTAAGGCATATACTGAACTGAGATTATGACTATGATGCCCCGCCCCCTCCACACATGTTACAGGTATTATGCAATTACTTTGAGACCAGCTACATGTGCAAAGTAGCTCCCACAGAATAAAAAGCTCCAACTAGCCATAAAGTTAGACCTCAAAAATGTGTGCTAACGTTATAGCTGGTTGCTATTTACCTTTAATTTGCACATGTAGCAGGGTCTCCCCTGCTGCTCAGTGCCCTGTCAGATGATGGAGGTCCCATCCACAGTGGTGCATCATGCCCAATGAAAAACCCCTGAGCCCTAGAGATTGTAGCACCTGTGACCCCCAGGGGCTGAGGTTTTCATGCACCCCTGAGCCCTAGGGAAACCTCTAGACCGTGGACAACCACAGCTGCCATGATCCCTAGGGCTTGGGGGGGTATGAAACCCCTGAATCCTGGGGACAGCAGCTGCGATTCCTAGGGCTCCGGCGTGTGGGAAACCCCTGGGTCTCAAGGATCGCTGGAGGATCAATTACCCCACTCTGGGAGTGTGGGGAAACCACTAAGGCTGGAGGATCACCACGATCCTTTGGCCCTGGGGTATTTTCCCACATCTCTGGGGCAGGGTGATCACCTCTGCTACAGTTCCTTCCCGGGGTTTTCCTGAACCCCCAGGGTGGAGGCATCGCTGCACCGGGGATCCTCTGGTTCTGGGGTTCATGGGGTTCTCCTGTGGCCGGGAGCCTATCCTCTGGGGCTCCCAGCCACAGGAGCCTGCTTCTTTGCCTGTGTCAGGGGATTCTGGGATCAGGCTCGCTGGACACCAGCAATAAGGCATGATGGGATCTAATGAGCGATCCCACAGTTGTGCCTCCTGTCATGCACGTTTGGCATGGGGGGAGGTGCAATTGTATGAATCGCAGATTAGCTCCCTTCCCACCTTTACCTGCTCATGTAAAAGGGGCCTACATTGTTGCAACATAACAAGCTTTCTTTTTCAAGTTAAGTACTTCAGGGTAGGGACTCCTGCCTGCATTGGTTACAGTGCTGAGCATAATGAGGCCTCATGACTGACTTGGGACTTTGTCAACTACTGCAATACAAATAATAAATGTTGGATTAGAACCATTGCATAGCTCTTTACACTTCATTGGAGCTATGTGTCAGTTTACACCAGATGCAGGTTTAGTTTGGTACTTTTATTTCTGTCTCATAAGGCAATACTTATTGCCTGGATTTTATTGAGTGCAAGTTGTATTATGAGTTATAGCACTCACTTCTGTTCTTAACTTTATCTGCTGAAAAGATGCCTTTTGTAAATATATATGTATTACAGGTAAAAATAAAATATAATCCATGCTTTAAGTAAATATTTTGATGTCTACAGTTGTATTAAAATTTAAAGGCACCTTCCGAAGTAATGATCTTAAATGATTACCTGTGACCCTTGCCATTTTAATGTTTTTTAATACCTTCAGTTTGTTGCATTCATATTTTTAATTCTTACAGTGGTTGCATAATTAAAATATTTTTATAAACTTAGAACAGTTGGTAAAAAGTCTAATATTTTCATTTCATATTTTTCTCAGGTATATGATGTTGATTGATGGCAAGAATGAAGTTTATATGATTGATAGAGATAACTCAGTGTTTCATGTATCAAACCTGGAGTTTCCATTTCGTAAAGATCTTCGTACACACTTAACAAATACTCTTTTGGATGGGGTAAGTTGGTCAAATGTTTAAATTATTGCAGTATGTATGTAATTCCTCTTTTTAGTAACACAGTCAGACTTTTGGGCCTGGAACTGGCGAATGCAAGGGTTACAGGAGTATATTTTTTTTAGTGCCTGGTAAGGTATGCTTACTGCACTGGTACGTAAACAGTTGTTATTTAGACTGCTTATCAAACTGCAATGATGATTGCATTGGGCGAGGAGTGGTTCACTTTCTTTCAGATTGAAATCAAGGTGTTGAGATGGTAACCCCTGGAAAAAATGTGAGGAGGAAAGTGTAACAGAATAAACCATCAAATATTTGCACTTGCTACCTTGTCATTGTGATGTGGTTAATGTTGCAGGTGATTTCAGTTAACTTGTATATTTTCATGATTTGTCACCCTTCTTGTTGAAAGGGGCCGTTGTTCTCTACACTTGTGTTGTTTTGCCAAATCTAATAATTGCATCGTGCCTTATATGCTGTTTACCGTCTGTGTTTAAAGTTTCTCTCTTATACTAAAGTATTCTGCCTATTAAGTTGGTGTAAACGTACCTATGAATAGCACTTGTTTTGACTGCATCTGGAAACTAATTTATAAAATAATGCATCTGTATTGGTATATAATCATTCAGCCCAGCCTAAACAGGCTTTGTGTTGACCTTTGGTGTGAATCCTAGCATGTGGGCTAAGCAAACACAACTCTGGTGTTGGAATCCTCTCAAGGGGAAGGGTGTTATGGTAATGACATTGCTGTTCGCTTCCTTTGATTGATTGGGGGACTAGCATGTTGTCTTGTCAAGAAGTCTGATTGGTTTGCTTTTATAGCATGTGCCCATTGCTTTCCTTCTTTGTAATTGTGGGAAGTATCCTGCTGTTGTCACTGCCATTTCTTCTGCTTCTGGAGCTTATGAGTGCTCTTCACACTTGTGCTAGTGAATGTGCTAGAGCACCTAAAACAAATCCCAAAGCTGTGATGTTGTGAAAGGGAATTGTTGCAAGGGGATCTTTGCTCTTTGAGGAGCTGTTTTCCAGGTTTGGAGAGATGAGCAGCAGTAGAAGACTTAGACGCTGGTCATGGCAGAAACATCATAGAAAAATAGGGCTGGCAGGGACTCCAGGAGGTCATTTAGTCCTGCACCCTGCTCATCCCAGACAAATGCTTGTTGAAGACACACAAAATAAAAGGACAGACATATCATTCCAGCCATACCTAAAACATCAAAAGCCTAGGGATATTTCTAGGATACTATTAAAAGGGTCCGTTATAATTACTGTTTTTGGATAATATGCAGTTGCTTTTTTTTGTGGATTTCACAATAGCTGATTGCTAGGGGCTACTGACACATGCTTGTGTAGAGTCATGGTGGAAAGGGCATTCTGTGGATTGAGATAAATATGAGGGTTTGGGATTGGTGGCTGTTATGGTCTTGATTTGGAGCAGCAGATTAGGGAATTTAGAAGCTCTTGTGTTTCTAGTAAATTAAAAAAGAGTTTAAGGTGGTTTTGTTCTTGACAATTTGTAAACTTGGAAGAACTCTCAGCTGCTGCCTGTTTCAGGTTCTACATATTTAAGGACATGCTAAACAGGATCGTTACACAATTTGTAAAACTTTGATCACTGTAATGCACTTTAATAGCTTAAAGTGTTATCAAATTATTCGTTAGCTGGCTGGGGAAGCTTCTCAACCAGTCATTGCTAGTTTGGGGTTCTGTGTGTTATGCCAGGACAGAACTTTACAAGTTCTGTAATAGCCAGTGCTTTATAATATAACAAAATGGCTTGCCTTATTGGTATGAAATTATTCATAAGACAGGGTCCTTTTCCATTTTTTTCATTAAGTAGAAAAGCAAAAAGGAATGAAATTGGAATGTCTTGGTTGGTTGAAAAACCATGAAATAAATTTAAAACTTTTCGTGGCATAAATCCTTTTTCCCAATTCAAATTTCTAAATGAATTTAAGTACAGTCAATTAAAAGTAATGAAAACTGCTGCTGGAACTTGATGTATGTTCAGATAAATTTATTTTTCAATATCTGGAATTTGTTTTATATTTAAACTTCTCAGTAGTTCTGTCTAGTAGCTGGATTGGATGTTTGTACTGATGAGATGTTGATGAATTTGTTTCTATTAGTGTCCTTTACGCTGGAAATGCATACAATTGATATTTTTTTAAACCCATTGGGTGAAATGGCTTTTTTTCAGTAACAGATTGCTAATTACTGCTGGAGGACTTTTGAAATTAATTCCTTAATTATAAAATTAAGTAGTTGCTTGTTTTCAAGTAGACCTTGTACTTCAGAACAGTGGAGGGATAGAAAGAAGTAGCCCAAGTGGGTATATATAATGGCTTGTAACAGCCTGTAGCAGTCTACTGTTTTCATCAAACTTTATTAATGGCATATTTACCGTGACATAACAGTCAGCAGTTTGCATTATTGCAGTTAATTGCTGTAAGAACATAATGTTAAACTGTGGGAGCACTACTTTATAATTTTGCTTGTATAAATAGGAACATTTTTCTATGAATGTATTGACAGTTTTAGCAACTTTGGACAGAATTGTATCTGTTGTTTGTAAGTATTTATATTTGAGTTTCCCATAACAGTTCACTTCAGGTCGAAATTTGTTTGCATGGTCATACATTTTGAGTGGTCAGGTGAGTGAGTGGGGAAGATCTCCTAAGACCCTACTTTACTAGTCTCTTTTAGCAATTGCGATTATTTTGGCAGAAGATAACTTAAAGGCAGTTTTCTGCAAAGTTCCTCAAAACATTGCCCAGAGGCATTGTTTAAGTACAGCGTGAGGTATTTCTTCAGAATCCAGTTGGTCTGGCTGTGGTGTTAGCCCCAGGAGTAAAAGACTTTTTTGGGGGGAGAGCGGGGATTAAGGCTAATTTTAGCAGTCCTACATGCACAAAATTAGGTGCTCTCAGGAATTTTCTTGGCAATCTGTTGACTTGAGCATTAGAATAGTAGAGTAGTTGATGTGGTGGGCACCCTCAGGCTCACAATCTTTCTTTTGCTGGTTTGATCTGTCTAATATTTGTTTGAACAAGGCTTTTTTGCATTTACTTTAAATATAAAGCATACAAACTTATTAAAATTGTATCCAGGTAGTGAGGTGCGCTCTAATTTTGTTATAACTGCCAGGATATTTATTTCATGTGACAAACTAATTGTCGGCCATCTATGTTTTTTTGAGCAATACATCTGGTATTCAAATCTGTTTACAAGTTTGACAGAACATCCAATAGAATTCAACCTTTTGATGGTTTCCATAGTAACTCAAGTGTAAAAGACAACAAAGATGCACACTGGTTTTCTCACAGCATTTAAATTGTCAAATTGAATCTCTTAAAAATGAGCAACACTGTTATTAGGTATAAGTGTTGGTTTATTTCAACCTTCAGAGAAGCAATATGAATTTTTTTTTTTACTTAACAAAGTTAGCTGTGTACAGACATAACAAGTAAAATAAAATGGGAACATGCCCATGCCTGATGATGGCACTGCCCTGGCCCTGGCCAGCATGCACAGCTTCCTAGTGGAGCTGCTCCCATTGCTGCCTAGATACTGCTTAGCTTTTCCCACCTCCAGTGGCTCCTTGTCTTCCTCCTGCCCCTGCTGCACTGCTCCAAATTGCCTTCCAGCCACTTGGCCACATGCAGGTGGCTGCTCATTGCTCTGGGTAGGCAGAGTGGTGGAAGGCACCCAGGAGCTGGAGCCCTGCATGCTGGGGCAGGATCCACCTGGCTGTAGTTTCCCCTCTGCTTGGTAGTGTGTGTGGTGCCTGGCACATGTCTCTATGGCTTCTGCTGCTGCCTCCCTGTGTTACCTGCTGCTTGGAGCAGCACAGCATGAGGAGGAAGAGCCACTACAAGCAAGGGGGAGCTGGAGCAGCCCTGCCAGGAGCTGTGTGCCAACGCCGGGATGGTGCTGTTTGAGGGCATGGGGCAAGTGCAGGCAGGAGTACAAGATGGGTTGCCCTGGCAGGAGCAGGTGGGGTTTGGCCCCATGCAGAGCACGGGGAGGGTGCAGCTGCAGGCCACATACAATCAATGGGTGGGCTTAATCTAGCATGCAGGCTGTATTTTGCCCACCCCTGGACTAGGAAGATACTCTTGCTATAAAATATGAGTTACCATGCTTCTATTCCAAGTGTATAAGAGAATTTATCCTGTTATGGAGGAATGATAAGTGAAAGTGGAAAGTAAACTGGATGAAGTTGATTTTTTAATTTGGTGGCTTTTAAATTCCTTTTTCCTTTTCCTGTCAGAATAGCTCGATGTGCTTTTGGATAGAAAGTACTTCTCAATTCACTACTGTTTAGCACATTTAATTTCAATTAATGTTTGAACAACTTGTTGAATCTTGCAGTACCAGGTATTAGCTTAAAAGGGGAAAGATTAGACTAGAAAATATTGAAAACAATTGTCCTTTGTTTCTACCCTATGGAAATTTCATAAATCATGGGATATAACCTAGTAAATAAGTTGTCACGTTCTTTATTTCAAAGCTTAATATAGTTCAGAGATCAGTTAGCTTTTGTGCATATATTTTCTCTAGTATGAGAGTGTACCTGTGTTTTTCCCACTTGCATAAGGCGCTGTGTGTCGGTTCAGTAAAACTGATTGGACCGTAATTTAATCATTACTCATTGAAGTGAAGCTGAACAAAATTTGTTCAGTATTTCCTAATTGCTGGTGATCAGCTTGTTGCTAGTTAGTTTGACCTTTGATAGTCATTCTTAGATGATGCAATTATGTGAAAGTAAGTCCTTAAAAGGAGAAAAAAAAAGTATTTTCTTGTGTAGTTATACAGATATTCTGGATGTTAGGTTGCAAACCGCTCAAGAATTGTGTGAGAATCCTGAGCAAGTTTTAGGAATTGTAAACAAACTGCGAGGTAAGTGTTCTCATTTAAAGATGTGACAGCAGAAGTATAGAGAGTTCAAAGATGACCATCGTCAAACATAGGTGTATGAAGTTAGTTCTCTAAGTAAGAAC